GGCAGAGTGGGCGGGGACAGTCGTGGAGGGGGCGGGGACAGTCGTGGAGGGGGCGGAGGCAGCATGGGTGGGGCGGGGCAAGGAGGACGCGGGGCGGAGTGCTCGTGGTCAGAGAGGTTGGGGGACCCGTCCCTGGCTGCGCATCCCGCAGGCAGCGCTCGGAGCTGGAGGCGCTGAAGCAGCAGTTGGAGGAGAGCGGAGCCGCCGCAGGCCGAGCCTTGAGGGCTGAGTTTGAGAAGGCGGCAGCGGAGCAGGAGCGCAGGCACCAGGTCCTCCTCATGCCCTGTGTACCCACCACGGGACCCCCACAGAACATTCGAGAGTGTGCATGCTGGGAGGGAAGGGGGACAAGCAGCACATGGGCGCATTGCCAGGTCTCCATTTCCTGCCAGGGGTAGTCAGGCTGGGTGCCCACTGGGCATCATACTAGGGCCCCCCCTGCCTGCCGGGGCCCTGCAGCTCTGGCCAACTCCCCACCTGTTGGAGAAATGGACCCCACAGGGGACAAGCAGAGCCTGCATTGATGTCATCACTTGCCCCCAGGTGGAGCTGCAGGCCTTGAAGGACCAGCTGGAGGCAGAGCGGCAGATATGGGAAGCCAGTTATGCCAGGAAGGAGGTGAGGGCCAGGCCAGGGGCACGGGGGCCAGCTACACCAAGAAAGGAGGTGGGGGCTGCAGCCAGCTCTGTGACTGAGAGGAGGCTACTCTTCCTCTGCTGTACCCCCTGGGCCCGAGCTTCCTACCCCTTCCTTGGTAGTGACGGTACCACCTGTCTTGTTCTTCTGGAAGGTATCGTATCTGCAGGAGCCCCCATGCCTCCTGAATTGCCCTGCTGACCACTGCCCACTTGACCTGGGCTGCTTGCATAGTGTTTCTATTTTTATTACTATTTCTTAAAAATCTCGTTATTGTAAACAGACTTATGAAAATGCTCACTTGTGCAGCTATTTGCACTCAGTCTTGGTGTGATTCAACTATTCAAGCTGCACAGCCATCCTTCCACTCTTTCATGGGTCCGCTGGGCCCTGGTACCGCGCATGCTCTGGGCCCAGCCTCTAGGCTGTGGCCCCTGGTGCGGCACATGCGCTCCTGGCCTCTAGGCTGCAGCCCCTGGTGACACGCGTTCCGGGCCTCTAGGCTGTGGCCCCTGGTAACTTGGTGTAGCTGTTGTCTGGTCCCTGTGGTTTCACACTCTGCAGACTCTCCAGGGCATGGTGGTGGGCACAGAATTTGCAAGGGTGCGATGTTAAGGGATATTCACAAATTCCTTTCCCAAGAGATTATCCCCACTCAGCCCTCCCCACTCCACCCTGTGTGCCGCCCAGTGCCCCGAAAGCCACCATTGTCCTCCAGCCAGTCCAGCTGTCAGGGTGTCCCTGAGTACATGTCTAGAGTGCTTGGCTGTTGCCCAACCAAGGGGCCACCTGCCCGGTTTCCGATGTCCTCTGGGCCCAAGGCTATGTCATCATGACTGTTTCTGGTCCCACTCCAGAACAGTGGGTGCTGGGGTGACCCTCATCCCAGGGCATCTTGTCTGGTACTGCTGCTGGAGCCCCTCTTCACCCTAACTGGGAGCTTCCCAACACTGGTTCTGGGACAAAGGCCTGCCCCGTCTTGTGCACACCCCAGGAAGCATGGCTGCTGACCCGGGAACGAGAGTTGAAGGAGGAGATCCGGAAAGGCCGGGACAAGGACATCGAACTGGTCATTCAGAGGCTGGAGGCCGACATGACGCAGGCTCGGGAGGAGGGCGAAAGGGCCGCTGAGAGCCGGTGAGGCCGGCGTGTGTGTGTGTAGCACAGTGTCTGAAAGCTGGTGGGCAGGGGGATGACAGGTGTATGGGCACTGAGCGATGGAGAGGGACCCCCACTCACCCCCAGTCCTACCCGGGTCTCCCAGAGTCCAGCGTCTCCAGGACAAGTTCCAGGCAGAGCTGCAGGAGCTGGAGCAGTCAGAGCGGAGGCTGCAGGCACGCTGTTCAGAGCTCAAGGGCCGCCTCGGGGAGGCCGAGGGGGAGGCCGGGCGGCTGCAGGGGCTGCTGCGGCAGAAGGAGCGTGCGCTGGAGGACGTCAGGACGGTGAGCCGCGGGCAGGGGACTCAGCCCCACACGTGGCTCCCCTGCCTCCCTACACCAGGCCCCCTGTGCCCTGGGTTTCACACTGCCCCTGCCCTTCATGCCCTCTCCCTGCTGTCCAGGTGAACGAGCAGCTGACAGGTGAGCGGAGCAACCTGGCCCAGGTGATCCGACAGGAGTTTGCTGACCGACAAGCCGCCTCAGAGGAGGAGAACCAGCAGCTAAAGGCCAAGCTGGAGCGAGTCATGCAGGAGAAGCAGGAGGAGCTAGAGGAGGTGCACCGCAGGTGAAGGGATAGGGCGTCCCAGGTGAGGGGGACGCCTAGGTGAGGAATCACCGCAGGTGAGGGGACATCCCAGGTGAGGGATCACTGCAGGTGATGGGGACAGACCAGGTGAGGGATCACTGCAGGTGACGGGGACAGACCAGGTGAGGGATCACTGCAGGTGA